CATCGAACGGCAGAGCCGAACGAAGATCCACCGGAATGGTAGCAACGGCAAAGAAAGCCGTTCCATCCGGGAAAGCATCACAGATAGACAAGACCAGGTCGAGTCATCTGGATAGAACGCCGTACATCAACGGTCTCACAGCGCGCCGTTAAGACGTAACCGCTGTCGTTTCGCTAACAAGCAGCTAACGAAATCCTGACGAGAACGAGGTTAGGCTTAACCAGACGTAATCGTCACAAGGTTGATCCGATTTTGGGGATTGGTTTAGGGTGCCAGGACAACATCGTGCCACCAGAGACTTCCATCGAACCTGGTGGCCATAAAAGCATCCAAACATGTAAGCCATGAATGAACTGGATCATTTGAAGCCCAGTTGGGGCTTAGTTGAGTTGCCACTTTTGGCCCTGGTGCTATTCAATACTGAGAAAATGGCCCAAAATGGCCCAAAATGGGATTTTTAGCCTGTTTACCTACCTGGTCGAAAGCTAGGGTCATTATGAAGATGAGCTTTTTAGCAACTGAGTCTCCCACTGAATGCTGTGACTTATGCCATGTTCACTTTAAGGTTTCGAAGCTCAGTTTGTGGGTTGATCATTGATGCTCAAATTCAACGGTTAGGGCCACCGGAATTTGCCACACACCCCGATTCACAAGTTTTATAACGTGGACTTATTAACCCTACGGGCAATTGAGGCCATTCTCAATTGGTTTCAAAATTATTTGGAAAATTAGCCAACCCCATAAGAAAACTAAGCTAAGTGGGCTGGGGGCTTTTTGCTATGAAGCTCTCGGCCTGACAGTAGCCTAGCTAGCTGACGCGTGTCCAAGTTCCGACCGTCGCGATCGGGTTCAAATTCGTGCAAATTTCGATCGACGGTACTCGGTATCGACAGTCAGGTTCAGCCTCCGAAAAATTCGGAAACTGAAGTACGGAAGTTTGACTCAGGTCCGATCGACGGCGACTTCAAATTGGAGTCAAATTTTGACCGTGCGATCGGCGTACGGTCAATCAGGGTACTGGACACGCGTCAGCTAGCCGTGAACTCGCGCGGCCAAGAGCTTCATAGCAAAAAGTCCCCTACACGGGATTAGTTACCCTATTATGAGATGTTTGAGGTGCAAGCACCTTGAAAGTTGATGTGAGGTGGCCAATACAAAAATGGCAATAAATTACTAGGACATGTGCCAAATGGCCTTATTTTTGCCACGAATTGTGGTGACCCTTGTGCGGTAAGGCTCCATTCTTGACACCTCAAATGGATTCTTCTTCCTTCCAATGGTGCTTTGTGAACACAATGGCTTGTTGTGTTTCCCCATCGGCTTTCGCCGGAGAAACCGTACTCGAAAGCCGGTGGCGGGCGTACAAAGTCACATGTCCGCCGCGCGAGTTTCGTTGATGATGGAAAGCTTTGCATTTAAAATTCCAGGGGCCTCGTGTTAACCCCAATCCATTGGTCACGGACCGTTTTGCAAAGCACGCGAGTTTTGCCCATCAAAAAGTGATCCATGCAAAAAAGCAAAAAATGCATGGAGTCGGGCTCGAACCCGCGACCTCGCGCTAGGCGCTCGGACGCTTAGCTCGGCTACGGACTACGGCAGAGGCGTCAAGAGGCCATGATCTGGCGCAAATGCTGGCGCATTAGTGGCCTAATTTATACTATATAGGGTTAAT